AGCCTTGTTCTTTGCCAGTTCTTTCATTGCAGCTTTGACTTCTTCCTTCATTACCATTGGTTCTAGATCATATGCCACTTCCTGAAATGGATGAAAATCGATCAGTTCTTTTTGGTACAGTGACTCTGTGTATTCTTGCCATCTTCTCTTGATGTTTCCTGCATCGTTCACTATTTTGCCCATAGAATCTCTCAATATTGCCACTCGAGGCTTAAATTTTTTCTTCACTTCTTTCAGTTTGAGAAATGCCGAGCATGTTCTTCCCTTTTGGTTTTCAGACTCCAGGTCTTCGCACATTTCATTATAATATTCTAAGGAATATTCTGGCTATATCAAGACAGATTTGTTTTTTCTTCTGGTAGTCCATGGTATATTCAGTATTCTTCATCAACACCATAATTAGGCATCATTTTTTCTCTGGCCTTCCTTATTCATTGTCCAGCTTTCACATGCATGTGGGGCTTCACATATGCTCCTTAGTTTTCCCATGTTTGGCCCAATGAGTATCTACTTGATGCTAAAAATTGGTAGCTTTTGGCATGATTGGTAGGTTCAGTCTTTGTTTCAATTGTATTAGATTTATGAGCTCTATATTTATCATTAATATCATTCACATTTTTAGAAAATAGCATTTAAGAAAATAGCAAGAGTGAAATGCAATAAAACTTTAAAGTATTTACCTTGCTATGGAGACAAAAATGGCAGAGTTTCTCTACTTGAAAGACAGGCCTAATAGGTTATGGTTACAAATGCTTATTTGTTCATTGAAGCATAAAACTCTGAAATCAGGGTATGAAAGGAAAAATACAGGGATATAAATATATAATGTGTGAGTGTGACTTGTATAAAAATCAGGGTGAGTTCATACTATTGGAAGCAAGTTCTGAAAGAGAAAAGAGAAATGGAGGACTCAGGAGGAGGGGTAGAATTGGGCCAGTGACTTTGAGCCAGCTTGTCCCCTAGCAAGGAGTAAACTAGCCAGATTTCCCTTTCATCCCCGTTATGATATGCACGTTGAATCCCTTTGACAGATAGTCATCTAAATTCTATATTTCCATGAAATGCCTTCTGGAGGTCTTGTTTTGGAGTGAAGATTAGGCTTCTTAAAGAGGATTTTTAAACTGAGTTCACAACTCAATTATGCCTTTATGAATTTTATTTCCTATGAAGCTTAAGAAAGTAGTTTCTATAGTTTTAACCTGTTTTAAAACTTTCTCCATTATAAATAGAGTGAAAAATGCATTGAATGTTTGATCAGTTTAAAATTTTCTTCAGACCTTTTTGTGTATAAAGTCCTTCACTTGATAATTTTAAGGATCAATGCTTATTCTACTGTCAGTCTTATTTTCCTTTGGATCTTCTTAACTCTTGTTACCTCAGTCAGAAAATTGTAATTCTTAAATAGCAGTTTCTAAATCGTGTACATTCTAAGGAAAATTC